TTGTTCGTCATCCACATTCCGCGTGATGCTCAGCATCTCATTAAGTAGATGCTTTTTCAAAGTCCAAACATTCTTATTAGCTTTAATTATGCCATTCCACCTTTACTTGATCTCAAAACTTACCACTACTTCATGGCTTTATATATATATGGGGCGCGCGCACACACATTCGTCCATATCTACATAATCAATAACATAATTAGATTTAAGTCTGTGCATTACATAAAGTCAGGGGAAATGGAGCATGTTTTTCTACGGAATTTTTTTTAACAAAAAAAATATTACGCTCACAATCTGTAAAAAGAGAAACGCAGAACGAGGGGATGCAATCTTTGAATCAAACAAAGCATCAAATAATAGCCAACACAAACTAAACAAAAGACAAACTACAGAGAGGAAAACAATTCCATTTCATTTTCACAGGGCACCCTCACTTTCCGTCCAGGGGTGGAAATGATGATGAAGGTATCTAATCCTTCTAATCTCCTAACTTTTCTGTTTCTTTGTGGCCAACTTTTGCTTTCCACACTTCTTTCCATGCTTCTGTATCTCCGAACAACTAAGTAGGCAGAAGATGGGATGGAATGCAACCTGTCTTTTGTTTCGTATAATCACTTTACAAATTAGAACTATCAATAAATAAATAGTTTTAAATATAATGCAAAAAAACCAAGCACGTACAGTATCAGGCAAGTTATATCCATCTAATCCTACATTGTTCACAACCCCTTGATCACTCTACAAAAAATTTGTGCAATGATTGATTATTTTAAAATGAATAGATTTTTTTTCCAAGTAAATCACTCAACTTTATGATAGAGTCATCATAGATATCAATAAAAAAAATATAAAATCTACATGAAACAATCTACTTTAAGCATGTGCCATTTGCATAACTATATGTAATGCAGCAGGAGATTTATATCTGGTCATATCAAATTTTGTTTAAAATCCTGAAAAGTAAATGTATCTAAATATTACTGCATAAACATACATTTATGCTGATGATCATTAGGGGTAACTGAGTTAAAAACTATGGATCGATATAGAAAATAACATTCAATTAGCAAAGGCGGATGGAGATTTTAGAAATAAATATGTATCTGTGTAATGCGAGTTTCTCTAGTTTTCAATCTTCAACCCTTCCTATTCCCCAGTTTTATTAATTTACACATGGTTTCAGTTTATTATCATCATACGCTATATGTTAGTCATGAATCCACTTGTTATATTTTAATAGAGGTTAATACATTTTAAGATTTTTCTTGCTTTGTATGAAATATTGATAGAAGTACCTTATAAATAGGATCAGAAGATGTACGTGTCAGAGAGCCCCAGTCTTTATTATTATTTTCAATCTAAGTACTGGTCCTGTGAAGAGAGAAAGTTCTGCGTATTTTGATATCTTTGTTTGGCCCCTAGAAAATACCTCAACTTATTGAAGGGTCAGTCTTTTCAATACAATTTGATGCATAAATAGGTGTATATAGTTGAGTATTTTTTTTTCCCCAAAGAAAAAAGGTGTTCTTTCTTGCTGTTTTTTAATGTGTAAATAGTGAAGTAGATAATTCAAAAAAGTTATTTATAATGTTAGGGAGAGGGTATAAGCATAATATGTTTTTATATTTGCAAACTTCTAATGCTTATATCATTAATAGTGGTATCTACGATTACGTCAACATATGTTCATATGCATGCATATGCATCCCTTATATTTATACTTATCTTGGATTCCATAGATATTGGCCTCTCAGTGGGTGGGTTTGAGAGAAAGGTGGGATATCAGAGCGAGTTTGAATAGGTCGTTGGTCATATCGTATTGTTTAATTTAGCGGTGAGGCCAATAAGCCGATCGATGAGCGGATGCGTCGGGTTGCAAAGCAACATCCCCAAACTCAGTAATGAAAGCCAGGCATACTATTAATGGATGATTAATATCCATCCAAGGCAGTGAACATGATCTGAATTTATAGAGTAACTGTGAAGCATTTTCCAACATGGGCTGAGCTGCTTTGCTGGATTGTTTTAATTAATTACTGTTCTTAATATAAGAGTTGGTTTGATTTTTAATTTCGTTATAAATATAAGACTAATCCTCTTTTACTTCTTATATATATATATATATATATATATTTTAATAGTCTTTGTAGTAGTTATACACGTTAAAGATTCTATTAATAATAGTTATAATTAACGCTTATTAGTAAAGATATTTTAGAAAAAATAACACCTAATTATTATAAGTAACCAAGTAAACAAATTTTATTATTCAAATTAGTAAACTAACTCTTATATTAAGGATTGGATGAAGTAATTTTCTTTTCCCCCACCGCTTCACTATGTGTATTCTATATACTTTTAGGTCGAGACTCCCTTATCCATTACCGTGTACTCAAAATGACGAGTTCTCAGAATCACTTACGGGACAAAATTGGATGGTACAAAAGCAAGCACCAAAAATGACGAAATCTCCAGTTACTGGCGTTGGTGTGAGGCTTTGCTTGAGGAGGGGGCCGGGTTTAGAAGCCAGAGGGCTGGTGTTTCTGAGATGAGCTTTCTTGGCATTTGGGACTTTCAGAAATATACGGATGCTTTAATTCCCAAACGCTGAGCCGACAGTGGCGCAAATCGCGCCTTCTCTAGCTGTGGATTATATACAAAAACGACAAAAAGCGGAGCTGAATATGGGCCATACTCTGCCACACAAGATACTGCCTGCCGGCTCGTTCCTCGCTATACATGTGCGTGCGTGTGAGCGTACTAGATTTTCACGTTAAAAAAACTTCATAATACCTGAAAAGAATCAATCCACCCTAACCGACCCTTCCCTCTCACTACTAGTGTGTTTTCTCTCTTTTAAACCCAGCAGCCTCTCCCCTCTTCCTGTCCTTTTCCTTCTTCACACATCATCACTTTCCTTTTTTCTCTTCTCCCTGCCATGCCCTCTGCCTCTTCCCACGTCGCTACTGCCCCAAGTTTTTATTTTTCTCTCTTCTGTGTTTTGCTTTTTCTCTGCCGTTTTCATCTTTCTCCCTCATAATATCACCTTATAGGCTTCACATGTATCTATTGTGTGTTGTGTGTGTGTGTGTGGGGAAAGCAAATACATATACCTGCTTTAGGGTCTGTATTTCCCTTTTGAAATCACTAAGGAAAATCCCTTTTGAAGTTTCTTTTGCCTCGCGAGTTTTAGGAGAAGCGGAAAAAGGAAGTCAAGGTCAGTCTTTTAGCATCCTCGCAATATGGTCATTGTTATGGCTTTGTGAAAAGGCCCCGGGGGGGGGGGGAGGAAACCTCGTCACACTATTTTTTTGGGTTCTTCTCTCATCTTCTTCACTGTTTGATTCAGTACTCTTTTTCACAGAACGCTCTCTGGTCTTTCCTTCTTCATTGAAACACAAAGCACACAGTCCTCATCAAATTAAATTCTATATCCCTCTCCCTTCTCATCACTCTCTCCAGCAGCAGCATCATGAGTTCTTCTCAGCCCCCCAATCCTCCAGGACCTTCGGGGACTCGAATCCCTGATGCCAAGGCTATTTTTTCAAGATCAAGGCCACCTCCTCCAACTCAGAACCCTAATTCTCCAAGACCTTCAGGCACTTCCATCCCTGGTCCCCAGGACATCTTCTCCACCACACCAAGGCCAACTCCTCCAACTCAGAACCCTAATCCTCCAAGAACTTCAAGCACTTCCATCCCTGGTCCCCAGGACATCTTCTCCACCACACCAAGGCCAACTCCTCCAACTCAGAACCCTAATCCTCCAAGAACTTCAAGCACTTCCATCCCTGGTCCCCAGGACATCTTCTCCACCACACCAAGGCCAACTCCTCCGTGAGTCTCATTTCATTATTAGGTAATTCATATCAAGCTACTCCTTTTTTATTAGTATTGTCTTCCATTCTTGAGACTTTAATTCAGGCACCAACGGCTATAAGCCACTTCTTCCATTCCCTCCTCTTCCCAACAACAAAAGATATACTTCACCTCAGCTTCTCTTTGTCCTTTACTCTCATCTCAATCATAAGATATTCACCGTTATATACTTTACTGTGAGGTTAATTGCCCAATACCTGCACTACCAATCCTTTTAGCATCAAAACACTCCACCCACACAATTCCATTCTTTCTTGTCAGGTTTATTAGTCTTGCTTTTTCTTTCTTCATTTACCATTGAAAATAGCACCCTACATGTAAATAATGAGTAAAAATTATATAATGAAAGTTACGCCGTGGCAAATAGGCCACATCCTCACACTCACATCTCCACCACTTCTTTAGGAATTCCCACTCCAATCCCAACCGCCCACAACACCTTTCACAAGAGACCATGATCCCTCATTTCATACACTTATCAGGCTCATTACACTATAGCGTTTTCTTCTAGTATAATTTATACGCATACCCCTCATCAATAGAAAGACACGGCTTCAATGTTTTTTTCCGACATATCAGTTCTGACGAGCTTCTTTAAGTATTCAGTGTTACATGTTTTGTGGTCAAAGTATATTAAAGAATTTAACTGACAAGAACTGTTCATATTTCTCATCCATTTTATCAAATAAAGTTAAATTTTAATTGCTCCAAATCCATAGGAAAAGTATGGCAATCTCTTTATTAGATTGTATGCTCATCCCCAATTTCATGTTGATGCAGTTTGTGGCCGGTAAAGTTCCAGAGATCTTGAAGTGAGATGGTCCTTAGGAAGATCATGCAAGCGTGCGCGCGTGTACTGTGTAGGGCAATAATATTATATTCCAGCTAGCAGAGATGAAATATCAAGTGTTTTGCGTCTGGGCTTGACTTAATTTGCTGTCCTTGTTTAATTTGGTTCCATAAACATAAAGATTAGCTAATGGGTTCCGCATTTTGATTATCTATTGCCTGGTTCTAGATATTGAACACATCATTTATGATTTCGGTATATATTGAGAGAAGGGAGCCTTCACTTGGGTCTTAAGAACATGCTCAAAAATCTACTTAATCTCTAAAACTATGCACTTAATAATGTAATTTATTTTGAGGCATCACATCAATGGAGGTTTTCGCTCTAGTCTTAATTAGGGACACAACTCAAAAAACTACTTACTCTTTGAAAGAACTTCCTAGGTGTGCCAGTATTATAGGAAAAAGAAGTAGCCAAAAGCACTTTGTAATTAGAAGTTAGAATGGTAGATCCATATGTATATATATGTATATCCATATATACATATACATATACATATACATATATATAAGGATATGTGTGGTGGGGCGTTGGACAAATTACGGACGCATTATTCACATATGCTTTCCATTAGATTCCCAAAATATAATGATTGTGAGTGATAAAAATAAATTTTCTTTAACATACAAAACATAAATGGCAAATCTCTCTAAACTCCCATTTTTCTTCTATTTTAAAGGGAATAAATTCCCCAAAAACGAGATGTTCAAAATGGCAAAGATGTTTTGGTTACAAGCTTGATCGGATTAATTATTATTGTGCGTCAGCTCCTTCATCATTATGTTTCTTTTCTCTTGGCGTCGCTGTTAGTGAAATTTGTAAATGACAGATAAACAGTCAATACACCAATTCGACTTTAATTCATCATTAATAATCAATTCGATTGAGAATATATTTAACATAAAAGCTAACTTACCTTTGACCACATCCACCAATATTTTGGTGTATACAAATGAGTCTTTGTTCATTTGTTAGGCGAAGTCTTACTTCTTATTATGCCAGAAGCTAGAATTAAGCTCTTTAATCCCACTCACTTGCACCCGAAGACTGCTAGAAAAAGGTGCTTTATACTGTGTTTAAATGTGGGTATTAAAGTGGGATTTGCAAATGTCGGGAAATGACTTCACTGCCCCCTGAGATGTCCTCGCTCTCTCTTCTAACGTCCTCCAACCACTTCCACACGGAAACAAAGCCACCTACAAGATTCTCAATACCTTTTCTCATTCATGCTCCCCATGTCTAGCACGAGCAGTACAGAAAAGTCCAACAGAAGACATGTATATGTGCTCATAGAAAAACCACCTATAGATTGCTAAATGTTCGCTCCAAAATAATATAATAGTCCCCTTACCAAAGGTTGTGGTTACCAAGTATACATTATGCTTTCTTGGCTGATAGAATACTAGAGCCACAAGATCGATCAGTCCCAACGCATTAATCAATCCGAAGCGCCTATGTTGAACAATGTTCAAACCTTTGCACTAGTTTTAGTATAATTCGGACATGGATCAAGCTGTGATCTCATCACTTTTAAGCTTCGTTTATTTAATCAGCCCTTTTTGTCAAAACAGTAGTCGTTAGAGAAGAAACGTCTAACGTTAAAGGGTTCCAAATATTAATTAGAATATGCGTGCCGCTGTTTCACTAAGAAAAGAAGATCTCCCGTGCCCCACAGCCACATCATTGCAATAACTGTATGTGATTTGAAAAAGCATGATATCCTTTAACACTAACAAGTTTCGCTTTATAAGACGTACATTATTATACAATTTACTGCTGTTCTGGGGGGCTTTTTCCCCTGTGGCTGTGCTTCGGTTCTTCTGAGATAATCAATCCCTCCCCTTTAATTTCATTGATTCATGCTCTTTCCTCCCTTGTTCGGTTCCCTTCTCTTCCCAACAACAAAAGATACTTCACCTCAGCTTCTCTTGTCTCTAACTCTCATCTCAGCCATAAGACAGACATCATTATATAATTTACTTTTCTCAAATATGTGCAGCTTTAGCATTTGCTCACTCAACCATAATTTTTGCGCACATCATTTTAGCATAATCCAATTCAACAAGAACACCGATTTCGCCGCTTCGCTGTCCAATTATATATTCATCCATACTCGTTTTCAGTATCCAACACCACCTACACCTTCCCACTCTTCATCTATATATCCAACTTCTTTTTATGCATTTGTAATTATTTCTAGCACTTTTTCATTTTTGGAATATACATGAGGGTGAAGGAGAGGAGACAAAGAAGGCTATAAGTGGCCAACAAACAAAGCAGCATATATAACAATTGTTTTGCGTCTAGGTTAAATCCTGCAGATGATGATTGCTCAGGACTTATCACTACGCCTCGAGGCATAGTATAATGCCTTTTCCAACATTTCCTAGCTTTAACTTTTTTAATAATGCCATCATGACTTTTTTTTGAGCAGAATCTTGAAATAGACAAGTTAATGCTTGTTTACCCTATTAGTCAAGTCGATAGTAAAGTTTTTGTTAGTTTTAGTTGATGACAACGGCACGTTTGCATATACTCTTCTGGTTTTATTTATAGAGCAGAGAAAAAAATGTTTTTTGTATCATATTTATGAGTCATTTTATTAAATTTTTAGCATGAATATACCATTTTGTCTTTTATTTATTAGAGTATAGATAGTTATTTTTTTGAAAGGTATATATATTAAATAAGTGTAAAGTTGGAAAGTTATTATATTTTAATAGAGAGTTAATGCATTTTAAAGTTTTTCTGGTATGTATAAAATATGATAGAAGTACTTATAAATAAGAGGAGTACGTGTCAAGAGAGCCATAGTCTTTATTATTATTTTTAATTAATAAGCTTGACCATTGCTTTTCTCCTAAGTACTGGTCCTGTGAAAGAGAGAGAGGTTCTATGTATTATGATATCTTTGTTTGGCCCCTAGAAAAGACCTCAAATTATTGAAGGGTCAGTCTTTTGAATACAATTTGAAGCATAAACAGGTGTATATATTTGAGTCCTTTTTTTCAGTATTTCTCCTAAACATGACCAATAATGTCTAAATATTCGATCGTGTAGTAGCATCTTTGTCTATCATATTTTTGTGCTGACAGGAAAGGACATTAATTGACCCTCGTACGTTATTTTGCAAATTTGAATTTGAAGGGCTTACCTGTCATTTTATCTTCAAATATATTAAAACAAAGCTTTTACTTCTCCAGACATATGAGAATATTGGAAGTAAGTCCGTAACAAAACTTGTACTTCTGCATTAAGAATTGATATAGAGGAATTTCATACCACTAGACTACAATATTATTATCATTTTTTCAAATGTACTTGCTTGAATGGTCAGAAACATAATTATTTCTATTATTTTTTTAATTTATTAATATCTAAATTAATCACTTTCGTAAAGAAGCTTTGTCTGATCAATTAAAATCCTAATAGTACTATTTTAGAAGCCACAACGAACGCTAAAAGGCGGGCTAAAATGTGAATGCGAAAATATAAGCCCAATTATTCGGTCAGTTGTACAGTTTATTGCCCAATTATGGCTTTTTTTTACCAACATGGCCCATAATAACTCTTTTTTGCCCACGAAGGGCCCAACATATCTAAACAAAAAAGATGTGGGCAAGACTAAACAATATCACAAAGAAGTGAAAAACAGTTGAGGCTATTTAAAGCCCATCAGGCTCTAAAAGAAAAAAATAGGTCAGGGTCAAAATGTCATAAGGGATAGTAAAAAAAAAATGACATGAGGAATAGTAAAATTACCAATAGGATTGTGTCTAATAGAAAAGGTTAGTTCATCACAATATGACGAACTAAGGTTTGAATTTTCACTAAGAGTGAGGCCTACATTTAGTGCCCGATATTGCTTCGAATATGATTACTTCCAATAAAAAAATACCTATGCATAGGAAAAGAAAAAGAAAAAAAAAGAACTAACCAACGATTCGTTTTTTTTTTTTGGCTTTTAATTTAGAGGTTTGAGGTCTGTAATCTTTTGGCTACGGTTTTGGGCAGGAGAACATCTGTGCTTAATCAACCCCATAATGGGAGCTGAACAACATTTTTATCAAAATGCTACACATGGTAAAATAAATTACCATGATGCTATACTATAAAAAACATTTTCCTAAATACTATAGTTAAGAACGAGTTTAAATTTTCAAAGAAGTTGTTCAGGTGGAAAACGAGTTTCATGTCTGACGAATTTTTTTTTTAACAAAATTGAAAACTTGTTCAAAGTATGAATGAGTTTTGTCTGTCATAGCACGTAATGCCACTGTCACCCCCCTCTTCTTTTCCTCTTTCATTTCACCAAAATTTATAAACAAATACCCATTCTATCAGCACCATCTTCCTTTGGTGGTTAAAAAAAAAAAAAACACCTTCTTCCTTTTTCTTTAGACTTGGAGAGAATTGCAGTTAATGACCCCACTCCTTCCCAACCACCTCTCTCATTTTTTTCCCTCTCCCCTTCATTCTATATTTCCAACAAAATGAAATAATATTGTTAGATTTTATATTTTACAAGATATAAAAAAATATGCATGAGTTTTACTTTATATCCTAATAATTAAAATTTTAAAAATATATAAACTTTGAATTCTTAACCATTATCAATTGAGCTAGCTTGCTTCAGGTGACACTGGTAATTAGTGTGTACTACATAGTAAGATAAGTTATTTTAATTTCAAAATAGTTTTCAATAAAACTGAATGGAATATTTTATTTTGTATTGTATAAAAATACTGTTAGTAAATCGTTTGTTACTTTCATTATTAATCATATTAATCATACTAAAGGGTCAAGTAATTAAATCATATTAATTAATCATGTTGGAGGGTTAAGTAATTATGACGTCATTTTATTGTAATTAATTCTCAGCAGTGTTGTTAATATAAGTTAATGACATTAGTGAATATATTTTCAAGATTTTCAGATTTTGGCCGGTTAATCTATAACAATTTTCATGGTATGGAAAACCGGACCGGACCGGTCGGTTCGGACCGGAAACCGGTCTGGTTCATCGTGTGAACCGGGGTCACATCGAACCGGTACGACCCAGAATGAACCAGGGTGAACCGAGAACAACCCGGTTAACCCGACGGGTTACTGGGTTGCACCGGGTTGTTTTTAAAAAAATGGCCTGGACACAAAACGACGTCGTTTTTCCCTTGGGTTGAATTTTTTTTTTTTTTCAAAAGTTGATTCTGAGTTCTGACTGATGACGCCAGAGCCCCCTACTCCCCTTACCCTATTGCTTCGCCGCTCACTTCGTGCTCTGTTTTTGTGATTTTCCCTCGCAAATTTCTTTCCCTCCTTCTCTCCCCGTAAAACCATTTTCTTGCCCTAGCTTCCCTCTTCTATCGCCGGCTCGCCACTTTTGCTTGCATTTTCAGAGTTCAGAGTGGTGGTAACTTCGCCGTGGCTCATTCATGACGGGTTCGGGTTGACAGAGACAGAGTGCGATCGCCGTTTAGAGTTCCACCAGCGTTCAGAGCTCCAGTGCCACCGTTCTGGTTTGCGATTTCTTTTCAGATTGTGAATGTGGTTTTGATTTTTTCTATTACACTTTAGAGTGCGATTGTGATTACCGTTCAGTTGCTTCAATTATGATTACCTCTCGTGAGCTCCCTTTCTTTCTTTTTCTTTCTGCTTGGGCCTGATGATAAGTAAACGTAATGGGAGAATCAACCAATGTAATAGCATTAATGTATTATAGCTTTCATCTGGATGATATAATTTGATCAGTTGAAGAGATTACGATGCTTGTGTTATACTGATGGATTTTATGAAGCAAATTGTTTAGCTGATATACTGATGGATTTTACGGTCTCTGTGATCATGAGAATTCAATTTTTGTGTTTGCCCATTTTACGGTCTCTGTGATCATGAGAATTCAATTTTTGTGTTTGCCCATTTTACGGTCTCTGTGAGTCGAATGAAAACAGTATTGAAGGAAGGTAATTGAAAAATTGGCTGTCGTTTTTTTTTCTGTTTTAAATTTGAAAGCTACCAGAGAGGTAATTGAAAAATGGCTCATGTTTATGTGATTAGACAGAATTGAAGGAAGCCACTTGGATAGAGTATGGCTTTGTTACAAATTAGCCCCACTATACTTAGAAAGCCTTCTTTCTCTCATATGGTTTTAATTGATAGATTTTGAATGCCGTAGATAGATTGGTATTATTAATTTATTTTGGTTTTATGATTTTGCTCTGACTCTGTTTTAGTATTTTATTAATCTGTAGTTTTTGTTGGATTATTTGTGCCGAGATTATTGATCATGGATGATACAAATATTGAAGCAAATGAGAATCCTATCCCTGCATCTGGTTCTACCAATAATCCCACTACCACTGCACCCTCACATGGGCCTGGTAAAACCGATCCTACATGGGCATATGTTTCTCTTAAGAAAGAGGGAAAAGTAAATGTTTTTACTTGTCTCTTTTGTGCATCAAGTTACAGAGGAGGTGGGATAAATAGAATGAAACAGCATCTAGCTGGTATTTCTGGTCAAGTTTCTTCTTGTAAGAAAGTTCCTCATGATATAAGTGCAAGAGTGAAAAGAATCTTTACTAGGAGGGGCAAAGAAAAAACCTGTGAATCATGCAGAAGAGGACATTGAAATTAGGGAAATTGAGGAACCAATTGCTCCACCTCAATTTAGAAAAGGCAATGTTGAGAGTAGTGGTAACAAGAGGAAAGCTCTTGAGACTGGGAGGGTTGATAATTACTTTACTCCTAGAACAACTTCTCTTTCCCAACCAAGCCTGAAGAGTGTATTAGCAACTAAAGAAGCACAATATAATGCCAAGATGGTTATTGCTCAGTGGGCTATTGTTAATTGCATTCCATTTAATGCATTTGATTGTCCTCTTTTTCAAAAAGCTGTTGATGCTATTGCTGCAATTGGGCCTGGGTTTAAGGCCCCTAATGCTTATGATTTTAGAGTTAACTTGTTGAAAGATTGGAAAAAAGAATGTCAGCTGCTGATTGAAAGTCATCGTGCAAAATGGAAAGAAAATGGTTGTACACTTATGGCTGATGGTTGGACTGATGTCAGACAAAGAACTTTGATCAATTTCTTAGTCTATTCCATACATGGTATGATATTTGTGAAATCAATTGATGCTTCAGATGTTGTTAAAGATGCGAAAACTTTATTCTCATTGTTTTGTGAAGTTATTGAATGGGTTGGTCCTGAAAATCTAGTCCATGTGGTAACTGATAATGCTGCTAACTATGTAGCATGTGGCAGTTGATTAAAGAGAAATATAAAACTATTTTTTGGTCACCTTGTGCAGCCCATTGTTTGAATCTTGTTTTAAAAGATATTGCTTCATTGCCTCATGTGTCAACACTTACAACAAAGGCATCTAAAATTACTATATTTGCATATAATCATACAATTTTCTTGTCATGGCTAAGGAAAAGACCTGGTTAGAAGGAAATTGTCCGTCCTGGTGTGACAAGGTTTGCAACTACATTCATTACCTTGCATAGCATATACTTGCATAAACATGACTTGCAAGCTTTGGTGATTGATAAGCATTTTGTGGATCACAAGTTAGCAAGAACTGAAGCTGGGAGAACTTTTAGTGCAACCGTATTGGATAATCGGTTCTGGAATGAATGTTACCAAGTTGTGAAGATTGTGTCTCCGCTTATGAGACTTTTGAGGATTGTTGATTCAGATGAAAAACCTTCATTACCTTATGTCTTTGAGGGGATGCAAAGGGCTAAAAATGGAATCAAGGACATCTTTCATAGGAATAAGGAGCTATACAAACCTTATACTAGAATTATTCAAGCTCGATGGGATAGGTATTTGAAGCAAAAACTTCATGCAGCAGCTTATATGTTGAATCCTGCGTTCTTGTATAATCCAAGTTTGATCAAAAAGAACAGATTGCAAAAACATTTGATTGATGTCTTTGAGTCATTCTCTAATGAAAATCTTGACTATTGCACGATGATGCAGCAAGTGTTTATTTATAAAGATCGTAAGGACTCTTTTGATAGATTTTCATGTGAAAAAGCATCTCAAAAACTAGATCATCGTAAGTATATTTAATGTCATGTTCAAAAGTACCTGTTGACACATATTTGATATCATATATATGAATGTAACTATATATCTTTTATTTTATTGTCCAGATCAATGGTGGTCATTCTATGGGAGTTCTATTCCGGAATTGCAACAAGTTGCAATCCGTATTCTTAGCCAAACGTCTACTTCTTCTGGTTGCGAAAGAAATTGGAGCTTATTTGAGCGGATTCACACCAAAAGAAGAAATAGATTGGAACATGAAAGGCTAAATGATCTAGTTTTTACAAACTACAATCTGAGATTGAAGGATAGGTAATACTAAAAGCTATGATTTATGAATGCTTTTATTAAGTGTAGAATTCATTGATGCTGATTTCCTTGCATTTTCTCATTAAAGGGATATCTTGAACAAGAAGAAGACAAGTTATGATCCTGTTGATTATGAATCAATTGATAAAGTTGAATTTTGGGTGGTTGAAGATCCAACTCCTGAATTTGATAATCTAGATGTAATGAATCTTGAAAGAGTTGCCACCAGTGAAGATATCGCAACTGCATCAACCTTGGGGAACGAGAGGCATGATAAAGGTTTATAATTTATCTCTTCCATTAAGATTATATTCTTATACAAAAAGTCTATAACTAATTTTTCACATGACCATTAATAATTTGATTATTGTCATCTATAGGTGATGAAGATATACATATTGTTGAGCCTCCATCTTTGAATGATGATGATATTGCTCCAAGTTGTTTTGCCGGTCCTTTGACAGCTTCACGACCTCCTCCTAGTGTCTCAATGCCCATAGATTTAAATGAAGTTAATGATGACTTTGGTGTTGATAATTATTAGTTGGTTTGGTGATCAAATGATTGTAGGTGAAAATATTTTGTTAATCATATATCTATTTTAGTAGTTTTCTAGGATGAATATTTAGCATTTTGATGACATGGGTGGTAGTATGACAATGTGATGTTAATTTCTCATGTAAAGAATATTGGAACTTGAAAATACATTGTAAATATATGATTATTTTGTTAGTAATTCAAGGTACTAAGTAGATATTGAATTGTTGGATGGTATGATAAGAATTTAAAATATTTTTAATTTTTTTAATTTCTCACCAGTCTGACTCCCGGGTTGACTCTGAGCTAACCCACTAACCCTTGACCCACTGCCTTAACCGGTTCAGTTACCGGTCTGGTTTTCAGTACCTTGACAATTTTAGAGAAAACTTAGAAATTGCTACTGGCTAAATTTACGTACTGTAAACAAACATTTACAATATATATTTAGATGCCGCATGTATAAAGACAGCCTTGTCATGATTTAATGAACATTTAATTATATTAATTCAAACATGTTTAGTTTTTAGCCAATGGACGGATCCAAAGTTAGATTATGAATATTGTTAAAATTTACACCCCTACTTAATAATCCATCCATCTATCTTCTTCTATTACGAAATCTCATACTACCCGATTTAGGCAAAACGGGTTTGGCGGTTTAGTAGGATTATTCATGCTATAATGGGTTTGTGTGGAATATTATACCTGTAGTCTGTCCAGCTCCTACCCACTCTCCTAGTGAAACCTCACCTCAGTCCTCCCCCGTCGTCTCTGGCTCTAACCCTTCCAAGCACGGCTCCTCAGTCTTCCCCCGTTGTCTCTAGCTCTAACCCTTCCAAGCCCGGTGGTTGCCCCTGCTCCTTCCACTACCAAGTGATTCTTCTGGCATCGTCTCTGGTCCTTCCCCCAATACCAATCAATGATGAGATGCCCTTTGAAAATAAACCAATGCCTATTCTAATTTGTTCAATGATATGAGAGTAACTCAAGTGATTAAGAGAAGTTACTCGTTTTAAATTAATACTCAACTAGAATATTAATTACTTGTTGAATTTACTTCAAGCATAATCTCTATAAATATAAATATACTTACAAACCAAATACTTAAACTTATAAATACCAATCCAAATATTAACAATTCCAATCCAAACCAAGAATTACAACTAGGAATTCCTCGTTTTAAACAAAATATAATAAACTTCAAACCAAAAATCATTAATAAAATAGTTTAAACTAAAAACTAGAATTAAACTCCTCTTTGTAGCTTCTAAACTCAAGCCATTAAATTCAATTTCAAAGAACACAACGAATTTAGCCTCTCATAGTCTTGAACCAAACTACAACTCCTACCGAAGATTCAGCATGGAGGACGGTTATGTTGGTGGCGATGAGGTGTGAGACGACGTTGATAGAGGAGAAGAAAAATGAAGCTGAGGGATTCAGGGGGTGGAGGCGCGTTCTGGGCGGCTAAAGAATGATGGAAAATTCATTTAATTGGCGGCTTGTGTCTGCATGAATTGATGTTGCGGCGTGTGTCTATGCGTGAGGGAAGGCGTATGAGAGTTGTGATGCGTGCGGCTTGAATTTCCGTTATTTTCCTCCATCAATATATATATATATATATATATATATATATAAGACTAAAGTATATTTTTGGTCTTTTAACTTCACATAAGGTTCTATTTTAGTCCCTTAACTTTAAAAAATAAACTTTTAGTCCTTTAACTCTATAATCATTAATAAAAAATAATGATATTGAATTCTTGAATATTGATAAAATATTACTTAATGCTATAATATTAAGTTTAATTTTTAAAACAACTATGATTGTTACAAAAAATCATCATTTAACACTAATAATTTTAAGATTAAAAAATTAAAGATATATTTTTAAAGTTAAGGAACTAAACTGAAACTTTAAAGTTAAAGGATTAAATATATGCTTTAGTCTATATATTATAATAACCTGATCCTATGACGGCCATACCGGCGGGCTGCGTCTCTTGTTTTCCTTTTTCCTTTTTAAATTGTTTCTTTTTATGTTTACTTCTGAAACATCTTTTTTTAAGCCCTTTTTAATACGTAGTTAGAAATATCACGGTTACATGAGTGGACGTGGTCATGCATGGTGAAGAGGACCCAAGATCCCCCATTAACTTGGACGATTTACACTTGAACCTTAATTTAACTCTGACATTAATTTAAGGTAAAAAAAAAATCTCTGACGTTAATTTCATTTCCATATGCAACTCTAAATATGCACAAACCTTAATGAGAATTTAATCAACAAAGATGTGATTAAATAATCAAACTAAACCCTTCCACTATTTCCCGCGCCCAGAAATTAATTTCAGCATATTATAACTCAAAAATGATTCTGCGAAGTTCAATAAATTATACTCCTCCAGTCCTTAATATAAGACCCATTTAATTAATTTGATTAGATTAAGGAAGTTAGGTAAGTTAGTTAATTATAAAAAAAGTGACACATTTTTCCTAAAACACCATAATCATCTTTCTTAATACCTCATCTCCCTTTTCTACTTGACTATGGTTGAGGGAGTATCCATAGCGGTAATTTAGAGAAAATTAATAAATATGAGAAATGGGTCTTATATTTAGGACCAAAACCAACTCAACAATTGGGTCCTATATTAAGGACCGGAGGAGTATAACTTGTCCAAAACTGATTAGCCACAAAACAAGACAATTAAACAACACACAAACTAAATTGTTCAAAATTTTCTGGTAAGTTAAAGTAGCCAAAATTAATCTTTCCTGTATTTAAACAACTAAATGGCAAATAAAATTTTTTTGACCGGAATAAATGGCAAATAAAATAAACCATAAGACAGATTGCTAAATAAATAAATGAGAAAAGGCAACTCAAAATTAGCCCAAATCATCTTTTTTTTGGTTACCCAGAGTATCTTTTCATCCGAACGGTAAGAGATTAATCTCTCAGAGTATTGTCAGGCGTAGTAGTGGGGATCTCTCCTAACAATATTTTTTCTATACACACTACTGCCCCAATGATCAAACCTAAGATATACTACCTTCGGTCCTTAAGGTGCCTAAGTCTTTTTTACTTGGACAAACACTTGTTGGTGCCCAAATCATATCTTTTTTTTTTTGTCCAGAGTATCCTCCCACCTGAATAGTAAAAAACTAATTTCTCGGGGTACTGTCAGGCGTCGTAGCAGGGACCCCTCCCAACAGTGTTTGTTTCATACACACTGTCCCAAGAAATGAACTCAGGACATGATGTTTAAGGTACCTAAGTCCCCTCCACTTGAACCAACACTTGTTGGTCCCAAATTATATCTTGAAGGACTTGTTATCTGAAACAACCTTCCTAAATAAACAGATAAACCTTTTTTTTATTTTTTATGGTAACTTGAAGAAATAACTTTTTATAACCAAACCATACTAAATACAAACTCAAATTATATCACAATCATTTACACTAACTAATTATATAATATTGTTATCCGTGATAGAAAAGAGCAGCACCCAATCATACATACTATCACGGATAAAAGAACTTTTCTTAACTCATTTAAATACAAAATATATAAGAAATGATCAATCTTATCTAATATGGTTATAAAACAACATATAATATAGCTCATAAATCAAAATATTAAAAATTAAATCTTAATTCATACTTTATAATAAATTCATAAATAAAGCACATGCGAATATGCGATCCTAGGCCTCTGGCCACCTATCAGCACACATACCACAATAGTACACTCAAAGGACATAAGAAATAATAGTGCATGAATAAATTAAAACCAATTTATCCTAAGATGGCAATATACAGGATACAACATAGCTCATAAATCGAGGAGACGCTACAAGTTACTAATGTAGCTTTACTCCTCCTGAGTCTTCTCTGACGTCCCTCTTTTAAAGCTTTCACCTAAAAAATGTTAAATAATAGGAATGAGACAACGTCTCAGTAACTAAATCCCTACCTATTACACACCCTAGCATGGCTAGCGAGGTGTCAGGTGGGATACACAAGGTTAATAATAATTGATAAACATTTATTTAACATTTAAACTCACAATAATCATATAAGTAAATATTTCCACCACTCTCATGCAATTGATACATTCCAAAAGAAATAACATACTTATCATTTATTTAACAGATATAAATATCAATGAATATCCCATGTCATATGCAATTCCTGAACCCAAATCCATCCTTATATCCTCCTTATTTCCGCCGACTGGACCCATGGGCTAAGTTCTTTCCATTTGACTGGCTACTCTGACAAGCTCACCACTCAAGTGATATGGACCGGCCAAAGACCACAGAGCACTCGGTGGACCATGGGTCCCCCCTCGAAGAACTAGTGGGGTGTCGCAGTCCCTCGAAGAACTAGTGGGACAATAATAGTGGCCAACCATAGAGCTCCATATGGAGGCCGATACCACGTGGTAAGTATATAAATCTCAATAACTCCAATCATCTCCTTCCCCACCCAAAATAGATGTACAGGGTTCAAAATCACAGATTTATATGCATAATCAACAGAATTTCATAATAGCACATCATAATCATGATCACCAATTTCTTGCAATACAAATTATGTCAATCCTTTTTAAAATAGCATCCCACAAGACAGTTCATACAAAATGTAATATACTTTTATAGAATTAGTTATAAAGCCGCTCACCAACTTCATACTAGAGCATGCAACAGATAGAAATTTAGTTACCTGGTCTCCTAGCTAACAGTCAACTACAACCAGAGTCCAACCTTGAAAATGCCACAATAGAGTTTATATCTACAAACAAAATTAAAATATTATCTCTATAGTATTAGAGTAGGCTACTCACAAAATTCTAGCCTCTAACTCCTCCTCTAAAAGCTTTAATTTTACTCAGAACTCTAGCCTAAAAGACATTTCTCTAAGGTTTGGAATGAGAACACACACACACACACACATATATGATTTAGACTCGATTCCTGAATTTTCTCTTACTTAAA